AGAATATATTGGGTATGGAGATCGAGAGAGATATGGTGAAAGGGAGTTTAAAACTTACACAGAAGAGCTACTTGCAGAAGATGTTGAAGAAATTCAGCTTTGATGGCAATGCAAAAGCAGTTAGCACACCATTGGCTCCCCACTTCAAGCTTTCAGCGTTGATGTCACCTGTTTCAGTTAAGGACAGAGATTATATGTCGAAGGTCCTATATGCCAGTGCAGTAGGTAGCTTGATATATGCGATGGTGTGTACGAGGTCAGATTTGTCACAGGCCGTGAGTATGGTATCGAGATACATGCACGACCCCGGGAAGGGTCATTGGGAGGCCGTGAAGTGGATTCTATGATATGTTCGAGGCACCGTGGATGTTGGTTTAGTGTTCCAGAAGGATGAGAAGGATGGACAGGATTGTATTGGATATGTGGATTCAAATTATGCTGGAGATCTTGACAAACGCCGGTCTACTTTAGGTTATGCTTTTACATTGGCAGGTGCACCTGTATGTTGGCGTTGCACGCTTCAGTCCACAGTGGCTCTCTCTACTACAGAGGCAGAGTATATGGCAGTTACTGAAGCTATTAAGGAAGATTTATGGTTGCGTGGATTATTGGAGGACTTGGGGATCACTCAGGAGACTATTTGGATATATTGTGATAGCATGTAGGCTATCTATTTGGCGAAGAACCAGGTTTATCATGCGCGCACGAAGCACATAGACATCAGATTCTACTTTGTACGTGACGTTTTGGATGATGGAGACGTCATATTAGAGAAGGTCCACACGAATGACAACCCTGCAGATATGTTGACCAAAGTTGTTTCAGGAGTGAAATTTGATCATTGTTTGAAGCTTTTGAACATCCTTCAGTGCTGAGGCCTTTGGAGGCCATTAATATGAACTACGTTCGGCTTGATTCCTTGGGCAAGAGGATACGTAGGCAGTCTTTCAGATGCAGCCGGTTTGATCAGTTGATTCAGATGGGGGGATCACGTTTCAACTCTAGATTGGTTCCCTGACTTGTTGAGGGACTATTGGATGATTTGGTGTCGGCTCAGTTTTGGTGGAAACATTCGCCGAGGTGGAGAATTGAAGAAATTACAGAAACTCAGAAGAATCAGGATCTGGGCTAGGCCTTTCGGTTTTTGACCCGTTTTATTTCTGAGTTGTATATAACTCAAATCCTGATTGTTTGGGGTTATGCAAGGATGAACTTGAGCAACCTTGAAGAGAGAATTGTTGCATCCAATTGTGGGAGAGTTGAGAGAGATCAAGAGCTTTGTTTTAGGGTTTGATCTGAGAGATTTGTAACTCTACTTGTATTCTCTGATTTCTAATAGTAAGAACTCCCCCCCTCCTTGCCCCGTGGACGTAGGCAACTTGCCGAACCACGTAAATCTCTTGTTCTTGCTGGGATTGTGGTTTGCATATTAGTTGTGGTTAGTTCGAGTTATTGTTCGTGTTGCCAGAGAAAGCTTCCGTCGCGCACAACAATGCTTCCTTAGAAGGCCCCCCAATGCCTGACTGAACACTTCCAATAAAACCCATCGATCGATGGATAGAAGTGCCAAACTCCACCTTGGTCTTCTCGCTCATCCCAACGTGCTCAAAGGACTTCAATCTACATGTCATAGCACTCCTCAACAATCTATGCACGGCATAACTAATCATATATCCCAGCAATAAACAATGTCATAGTCTAGCCAAAGAAGTCGTCAACTCTCTATCAATCACCGTGCTCCCAAGCAGATAATTCAAATTGCTCCTTTTGACACCCTTCATCACAATCATGAACCCCAATATGACCTTCAAGTGTGCATCTGCCAAGATTACCCTATAGCCTGTTGCCTCCAATGCCCCAAGTGAAATGATGTTCTTCTTCAATTGAGGAACGAACCTCACTTTAACCAACTCCCGAATCATCCCGTCACTCATCCAAATTCGAACGATACCGATACCACCAATATGACATTTATGATCATTACCCATGAGCACAACATCCTCTCTTTCCAACTCCTAAAAGCTAGAGAACTAATCCCTCCTAGGACATATGTGGTAAGTAGAACCTAAATCCAATATCCACTCGGTGGAGTCGGTAACACCAACTGACGGAAGAGCTGGGCACGAATAGCCTGAAGAATCCGAATCTGAAATGTCGCTACTAGCCTTGGTAACATTCAACTCTGAAGCTTGAATAGCTTTTCCCTTATTCTTTCCGGTTTGTAATTTTGGGCATTCGGCTTTCCAATGTCCATCCTCTTTACAAAAGGCACACTGATTCCTACCAACTGCAGGATGTGCCGCTCTAGACTACGACCTTCTACCATGGTTTGGACTCTTAGCTCTTGCGACCAATGCCCCCGCTACCGGCTCAATGGAAGTCTCATTGTCCTTCTTACGAAGTTGATAATTCACAAGTACCGCGGTGACCTCACTATACGAAAGAGATGCTTTCCCATTAATAAGAGTAAGGACGAATGTTTTATATTCCTCGTCAGGCAAGGAACTCAACAATAGCAACGTCTTGTCCTCATCTTCAACCATGACATCTACATTCATCAAATTCACAAGAAGTTTCGTGTAGTGGTTCATGTGATCACTAATGGATGTCCCCTTCTTCAATTAGAAGCGATAAAGCCTCCTCTTCAAATGCAAGCGATTTTTGACCCTCTAGGACCTCCCAAATCTTCTTTGCCGAAGTCTCATTCATCACATCATATTTTAGATCTTGAGTAAGACAAGACCTAACATCACATCATATTTTAGATCTTGAGTAAGACAAGACCTAATCACACCACACGCCGTTTTATTTATTTTCTTCCAAACCTTCTCATCAATGTCATCCGGTTTTCCGTCCAACTCCAACGTTTCTTCCAAATCTTATGCATTTAGCGCATCCAAGACTTCGCATCTCCAAAGTCCAAAATTATTTGTGCTATCGAACTTCTTCACATCTATCTTCATAGAATGGATACTCAAACTTTGGATGGTCTTCATACTAGAAGAACCCTCCCTACCTTTATCTTTCCTAGCCATATATCTCAAAGCACCCAATAACAATTGCGGAACGAACAAGAAATAGATCCAACTTGAAAAGATAGAAACTTTACCACAAAGATTCCACCTTTAACACCAACCGAAGCTCTAGATGAACTTCCTAACTGATCTACTCCTCCAAAAAAGTCCAAGCGTTGCCCGGAGCTCTGATACCACTTGTTGGGGAAACCCTAATGCCGGGATCCAATACCAAATCGCCGAGAGAGAAAGCCAAACACACCAACTCAATTAGCACAAATAATCAACACCAGTTTTAACGTGGTTCGACGAGATGCCTACGTTCACGGGGCAAGGAAGGGGGAGTTTTCACTATTAGAAATCAAGGGGATACAACTAGGGTTACAAATCTCACAAAAAATCTCCTCAAATCACACTTGATCTCTCCAAATGCTCCTACAATAGAAGCCCACAAAACCCCTCTATTTCAGCTCAAAACCCTTGCACACCAAACCCTAGAAACACCTCTTAGGTATTTATAACAATCCAAAACGAAACGGGTCTGAAACCCAGATTCAGCCCAAAACCGCTTCGACGGTCCACCGTCGGCGGTCGACCGCCAGGTCGACAACCGGCCACGGTCGACCGGCAGGTCGACCGCGACCAACATCCAGAAACAAGCCAAAACTCCAGAGAGAAAAGCCAGTCGACCCGCCACAAGTCGACCGCCAAAGATCCAGAGGCACAGTGAGGCCCCGTGCACAAACGCGGTCGACCGCCACGATCTCGCGATCGACCGCTGACCATCCAAAACATTCCCCAGGCTCCATCAACTGTTCTGCCAGTCCTACAGTTACAATTATAAATTCCACTTTAGACACATACAATGAAAGAGAGACAACAAGAAACACACAATTCTAGTTTACTAGAAGCACGCGCAAACAAAATTGTAGCTCATTCTCGCACTCACTCGCATCAAACGAGGTATTTAATTGTAGGCTGGATTTTTAGTTTCTCTTATTAGGGCTTGTTTGGATTGAGGAGAATGAGGGTGAAGGGAAGTTAGGGGAACCATTCACCTCCATTCACCTTGTTTGGGAACACTTAGGAGGTGAAGTTAATTCACCTCCATTCACCTTGGTTCACCCCCTAATAGTATAAAAATTGTTACCCCCCAAATTGGGGTGTAACCAAGAGGAAGGGAATTCCCTTCCATTCCCTTCACTCAGTTTCCCTTAACTTCCCTTCACCCCCTACGAATCCAAACAGGCCCTAATTAAGGTACATTCAAAAAGATGTACTTACCCTAAATTCTTAATAAAATTTTGGTATTTTTCATTTAAAAAAACAACATAGCTTCGCAAAATCTTTTCTTGCCTCAAGTATTTACAAAAAATAAATATCATGCTCATGTAACTACGAAGAGGGTCATATTTTTTTAGTTTATGTATATACAAACAAGAAGTTTACATTGCAAAAATGGGATACACTAAATTTATCTCCAATCACCATAATCCTCTTTCACAAATTATAATTGTAGTTACAATTACAATTTTCTCATTAAAACTGAAAAGTGTTCCTGGCTATTTCATTTTTAGCTAAGATATAGAATAATAATAATAATAATAGAATAAATTTTCTAAACAAACCCATTCATATTTTTTTTCTAAAAATAGACCCCATTGATTTTTTTTTATAAAAATCGACCAATTTTGTCTTAATCCGGTTTCTAAATAGTCGAGGTTGCCAACCCCGATTATTTAGTGTATAGAATGTTAAGGTTTAGGTTTATAATTGGGGGTTTATAATTTTCTAAATAGTCGGGGTTAGCAACCCCGACTATTTAAAAACCGGATTAAGATAAAATGAGTCTATTTTTTTAAATAAAACTCAAGGGAGACTATTTAAAAAAAAAAATAAAATATGAATGAGTTTATTTAAAAAATTTCTTCAATAATAATAAGGAACACGATAAGGAGATGAAGCCCGCGGGAACCGTTACCGCACCAGGTTATCCGCCTCCCTCTTCAAAGCAAGAGCCTCTCTGTGCCCTCTCGCTCTTTGTCCCGACGATGGCTTCTCTCGTTTACAACGCCTCCACAATCGCCGTAACCAATAACATTACGCCACGTCAGCACCGTTTCCCATCTATCCGTTCGCCTCAACTCGTCTCCGTTTCCAGTGAGCCCCTTACTTTCTTCCAAATTCCCTCACTTCGTCCTTTCGTCCGTATTCTGCAATTTATGAAATCCTGAGGATTTAAACGAACTCTCAGGGCGGAGATTGACTGTCAGAGCAGCCGAAACCGATGCTAACGAAGGTTTAGTTCAAATTTCCCCTCAAAATTTAGAATTTTACTAGGAAGGTTAATTACTTTTGTTTTCCAAGGTTGATTCTATCTTGCAGTTAAGCCTGCGGCACCGGATAAGGCTCCGGCTGCTGCTTCCGATGGTTCGAGCTTTAATCAGCTTCTTGGGATTAAGGGGGCCAAGCAAGAGACAGTGAGTTCCGAGTTTATTTAGTATTTAAAGTATTTGGAGTGAACAGAAATTGAGAATTTTTGTTAAAATTAATGAAAATTTTGACAACTTGTAAAACATACCCTATGTTGGGATTGAATCTCCTCTCTTTTTCACCACGGCGAATTGTAAACTATGTTGTTTGGCTCATAACTATTGCATTTAATAGGTACCATGTATTTCTGATTTGTTGGATTAAATGTCTTTGTTGTCTTAATTCGTGTCGAGCTTGTCGTGTGAGGATCATATATAACTGGAGTTTGATCGCTGACATGCACATAAAATTTGGAAGCAATTATATAGGAAACATGTGTAAGGAATCTAGTCGACTTTAGATCCCGAACAAAGGCTTTAACCTTTTAGGGTTTTGTGGGAAACTTTTTTACTGTATGGCGAGATATTCGGAAACAAACAACCACCACATGAAAGTTATGCGGTTCGGCAATGTGCCTACTACATCTATGGGAGAAGAGAAGAAGATACAATCCCACTTTCCACTCATTGATCTCTTACCAGAATAGTTCATCTGGCTTATTGTAAAAATCCTCACAATAATATAATTGTCCTCTTGTAACTCCTTACTAGAGTATTCTTCTTTCTTCTTCTTCTTCTTCTTGTTGTTGTTGTTGATCTTGACAGCTTGGTCTTTGATCTCTTCCTTATGGCCTCCTTTTCTTACAATCCATATTTTTCTCACAACACAAACCCTAGATCTGGGATAATACCCCTTTATATAGGATATAAGTCTTTGACATCAAGAAGCCAAAGAAACCAGATAGAAACCCAATTGCACCAGACAAAAACAGAAAAATCTCCGCGACCGAGTGAGCCTACTGCACGTACGCACTCCGGCCGTGGACCGCGTGTTGTGGCTGCGCGCTGTCCAGTTCCTGGACCGCTGCTGCTGCTGTTACAATTAAAGCCAAACACAACAATACATTCGTATTCGTTGGAACTTATTTCTTTTTCCTTATCATGGTCACTTACCAAATTAGCATTAATAAGATATGAAAACTTGATCTGAAACCAAATGAGGAGTATTTATCATGCGATGCTTGAAGTAGCAGGATATCCCATTTTCAGAGTTACTTATGTTTTCATCCCATGCCAATTTCAAATTTGTTACCCTTTGGATGTTTCTTTGTGAATACTATCTAGAACTACAACAATATCACTAATAAAGCACTTATCCTGAACTTCAGGCAGTGATTTCACCGACGTTCAAGTTAGTTTTGCGCTGGTTGTTTACCAAGTAATGCAATTCTTCTCCTAATCCTGACTAGGGACAGGATGTGGAGTTCACTGGTGATAATATCCGTTCGTCTCTTAACAACTTCAGCGCGCTAAACAGATTGCTGTAATTCACCTTCAAAAGCATCTCATACTACTATTTCTTCTTGATCCATTGACTGATCCACATTCAAAATATCTCCAAGTCCTTATTTGACAACTTCAGCTGAGTAGGCTAGAAGA